ACCGGTAACTTGGGCCGGTTCTCACCTGATCACATTCTGGGGATCGCCTCCCACAGAATCCAGTCTTGACTGAGCGAGCTTAATACTTTACTTAACTTTATACATACCTCGAACATGATAATAGCTATTATACTCAATGTAATACCCAGTCTGGGTCCCCACCTTTCTTCTTGAAAAATTGTTCGTAAGTGTTGTTCTCGTAGCCGACTTGTAACGCTTCATAAAAATATAAACAAATATACTAAGTACTATGCTCGAATACTCAATAAGATACTGAGATTCTTAACTTTAACTGTTAACTTATAACTTATCCGAATCATAAACATGCTATATCTCAAATAAATTCATTGAATAACTTTAAATCTTTTCAACTTTTATTCAATGCCATAACTCATATTAATCATACTTGATAACACTTAGATGTTGGCATCAAATTATACATAACTCAAATATACTTATCCTTTACCAACATCATCCTCATGAATTATAACTTACTAAACTTGTCTTAATTGATATTCATAAGACTCAATTTGAAATCATAACACTAAAACTTAAACAATTTATAAAATTGTATATCAATTATCATGAGTATTCTAACATTTTATACTTTTATCAACTTACTCATCATAAATATCTCATTACTCTTAAAAATTTTAACATGAAATAAATCATATACACCACTTAATCATTTCTCATCTTAATATCATAATATCAATTTGCATACTATCTTCAAATTATATCAAAATCTCAATTCTATCAAATATCTTACTAAATAATCCTTATATCATTAAAGCATATAACAACTTGAACTCAACATAACAATCATAACACTTAAAAATGCATACTAACAACTTATTTAACATGAAATCAAGATGACCATGAACTTAATATGAGCATGAATTTTCACATAAGTGAATTACCTCCTTCAAGGACTTGCTCTTGAAAATTTCTTCCTTCCACTTCAAAATTTCCTCCCTCCACTATAATTATCACTCTACTATAATTATTACTCCTTAAGCACTTATATAACTTGGAAATATTTTTGGTGTGAAAATTTCAGATTCTAAAGGCCCTATTTATAGCCAAAATTTTGGAATAATTTATTTGAAGTGTAGAAATTAACAAATTAAACAGGTTAAACTTGTAAAAATTAATCAGTTTAAATATATCCTTACCTAACATTTACACCTCAGATTTTCTTAATTTAATGCTCAAAAATAACTTTAGTTGCCACCAAAAATGCATTAATGACAATCTGATCATTTCTGTCGGTCACACGACCCGTGTGACAAGTCACACGACTCGTGTGAGCTCACACGACTCGTGTGACTTGGTCACACGACTCGTGTGGCAAGGTCGAAACTTAATTTGAATGATACTTTGAGTCACACGACTCATGTGACTTGTCACACGACTCGTGTGACTTAAAAACTTCAATTTCTTAACTTAGTTACCCTCAAAATATCTCGATTTTGAAGATAAACTGATACTTACCTGAATGGGATATTACAATCTACCCCCCTTAAATTATTTCCGCCCTCGGAAATATTGAAACTGGAAATAGAAACTTACTGAGATCATCAAAACTTGAAGTCTGGAAATCGAGCTCTAATATCTGCTTCTCGTTCCCAAGTGGCATCTGATTCTCTATGTCGATTCCACTTGATACGAACAAGTGGAACATCTCGCTTCCGGAGTCTATGAACCTTTCGGTCCAAAACTGCTACCGGCTTCTCCTCATAAGTCAAATCTGGTTGAATTTGTATCTCATTGTGCTGCAACACATGATCTGGATCGCACACATATGGACGCAGCATCGATACATGAAAAACATTATGCACGCTTGCCAACTCAGGAGGTAAAGCTAATCGATAAGATACTTCTCCAACCCGTTCAAGAACTTCAAACGGACCTATATAGCGAGGATGTAACTTTCCTTTCTTCCCAAAACGAATAACCCCTCTCATAGGTCGAACTTTCAAGAAGACTTTATCTCCCACCTCAAATTGCATTTCTCGCCTATGCTTATCTGCTGAAGACTTCTGTCGACTTTGAGCAGTCGAGTCTTTCTCGAATCCAGGCTACTTGCTCAATAGTTTCTTCAATCATCTTTGGGCCAAGTACTTGCTTCTCTCCGACATCGTCCCAATAAAGAGGTGAACGACACTTGCGGCCATAAAGTGCTTCATAGGGAGCCATTCTAATTGATGAATGATAGCTGTTGTTGTAGGCAAATTCCACTAACGGCAACCACTTCTCCCATTTGGAACCTCTATCCAGAATACAAGCTCTGAGCATATCTTCAAGTGTCTGGATCGTCCTTTCTGACTGGCCATCTGTCTATGGATGATAAGCCGAACTGAAACTCAACTGCGTACCCATTGCTTCATGCAAACTTCCCCAAAAATTACTAGTGAATCTGGGATCTCGATCAGATATGATTGTGACAGGCACTCCATGAAGTCGAATAATTCCACGAGTATAAATTTCTGCTAGCTTGTCCATCGACATAGTCTTTGATACAGGCATAAAACGAGCGACTTTCGTCAACCTGTCTACTACTACCCAAATCGCGTCATGTTGTTCTGATGACTTAGGTAGCCCTATAACAAAATCCATGGTAAGTGTCTTGACAACTTCAATCTGCATCCGAGCAAACTCTTTAATAAGTTGATTCTGTTGAGTGATACAACATGCCAATCCACCCTTTACCTTACGGCTTAGGGCATCTGCTACCACGTTCGCCTTCCCCGGATGATATTGGATAGTGCAATCATAATCCTTCACAAGCTCCAACCATCTTCTTTGGCGCATATTGAGCTCCTTCTGAGTGAACATATATTGCAAACTCTTGTGATCAGTGAATATTTCACACTGGCCACCATAGAGATAATGCCTCCAAATCTTGAGTGCGTGCACTACTGCTGCCAACTCTAAATCATGAGTTGGATAATTCTGCTCATGCGGTTTTAATTGTCACGACGCATATGCAACAACTTGACCATCTTGCATGAGTACACATCCAAGACCCTTTTTCGAAGCATCACTATAAATAGTGAAACTTCTAGTAGGATCAGGGATAATCAGCACTGGAGTTGATGTAAGCTTCTTCTTAAGCTCTTGGAAACTCTTCTCACAACGATCAGACCACTCGAACTTCGCAGATTTTCTCGTTAAATTTGTCAAAGGGAGAGCAATCTTTGAAAACCCTTCGATAAATCTACGATAATAACCTGCTAATCCGAGAAAACTTCGAACTTCTGATGGATTCTTCGGTACTGACCAATTCTGAATTGCAGCAATCTTTGCTGGATCCACTTCTACACCTTTCTCAGTGATAATATGGCCTAAGAATGCCACTTTCTTCAGCCAAAACTCACACTTAGAGAATTTGGCATACAACTTCTCCTTTCTAAGGGTACCAAGAACTACCCTCAGATGTTGTTCATGCTCTTCTTGACTCTTGGAATAGACCAAAATATCATCAATAAAGACGATGACAAATTGATCTAAATACTTGTGGAATACACGGTGCATCAAATCCATGAATACTGCTGGTGCATTACTTACCCCAAACGGCATCACCACAAACTCGTAGTGACCGTATCTTGTCCGAAATGCAGTTTTAGCTATGTCAGATTCCTTAATCTTTAGTTGATGATAGCCTGAGCGTAAATCTATCTTTGAAAATATGCAAGCTCCTCTCAACTGATCAAACAAATCATCTATCCTTGGGAGCGGACATTTATTCTTTATCGTTAACCGGTTTAAATCCCGATAATCGATACACATCCTCATGGAACCATTTTTCTTCTTGACAAACAATACAGGTGCTCCTTAAGGCGAAACGCTTGGTCTAATGAAACCAAGTTTCAACAACTCTTGAATTTGAGTTTTTAACTCTTGCAAATCTCTTAGTGCCATCCGATATGGTGCCTTCGACACAGGCGCTGCTCCAGGAACAAGATCGATTGTGAACTCCACTTGCCTGTTGGGTGGTCTTCCTGGTAGTTGGTCCGGGAACACATCCACAAACTCACGAACAATTGGAACATCATGAGGTGTTTGTGCTCTCGAATTTTCGTCAACAATGCTCACCAAATATCCTTGACAATCCTTCCGTCTTATAATCTTCCTTGCCTTCGCCATAGAAATCACCCAAGGCAACGTTCGCGTCTTCGAGCCATAGAAAGAAATTTGATCCTCCCCCGAAAGATAAAGAATTACCTCTCGGTCATGACAACGAATATCAGCACGGTAACGTGTTAGCCAATCCATACCGAGTATGAGGTCAAAATCCCTCATCTCGATGATGTACGCGCCGACCTCCAAGATTCTTCCTCCAATATTGAGTCTAAGGTTATCTGCCTTAGAACTCGTCACTATTTTCCGTCCTGAGGCTAAGCTTACCTCAAGAGGGTCAACAGTGTTAATGAATTTAGCTCCTATGATTTCTATACATCGTTTTGACACGAACGAATGCGTCGCTCCCGTATCAAACAATGCAAAAATAGGAATATCGTTCAGAATAATCATCCCAGACATAGTACCTGGGTTCTGTTCTGCCTGAACTTGCTCCACAGCATACACTTGAGCTTGAGGTCCTGCCCTCTGCTGCTGAGGCTGCCCCTGATTCCTCTGTTGTTGCCTATCTGGACATTCTTTGAGATTATGACCAGGCTTCCTACAGAAAAAGCAAATATTCTGCCCTGCTAAACATTCTCCTGGATGACTACGCCCACATTTGCCACAAGCTGGAAATTGTGGTCGATTAGCTTGCTGCTTCTGCTTGTTATTATTCTGGGGACCTTTCCACTTCCTCTTGTTCTTATCTTTAGCCTGCTGGACAGGCGTGGGCTGCACTGGTGGTTGAGCTGGAATTTAAACAATTGGTTGCACCTGAATTTGGCCATCGCCCCTCCGGAAGCTTGCGTCTACTTCTTGAGCCTTGGCCACTATATCAGCATAAGTCTGAATACAGTGTCCAGCTACATGATGACGGATTTCTCGTTGTAACCCATCTTGGAATCGTCTTGCCTTTTTAGCCTCTGTGTCCACCAGATATTTGACAAAAGATCCCAATCTAGTAAACTCTCTCTCATACTCATCAACTGTACGATTTCCTTGGGATAATGCCAAGAATTGACGTTCCATCTCAGCCCGATAGAGAGCTGGATAGTATTTCTCTTCCATCATCTCCTTGAATTGCATCCAAGTGAGATTTTCTTTCTCCCCAGGACGCATGCCCCAGTAGGAGTTCCACCATAGCCGAGCATCTCCGGTCATTTGCAGTTGAGCACAAATAATACGCTGTCTTTCTGTGCATTCAGTGATCTCAAAAATAGTTTCGAGACCCTAAATCCACTCCTCCACTAGACGAGGATCTCCTTGTCCTGAGAATTTCTCAGGATTGTATCCATGAAATTGAGTAACGACTTCTGATGTTGTCATCTCTTTTCGAGCTTGGGGTGCCATCTAAAATTTATCATAAAAGATAAATTTTTAATACACTAAGAAAATATATTTATACTTATATATATGTTGAGCATATAATCTGATTCATAAAATTCGGATATTTTATCGAGCATAGACTTAGTAATTTGCATATATTTAAAATTCATAATAAAGAAAATTTTAACAA